CCCCAAAACCCCAAAACCCCAAAACCCCAAAACCCCAAAACCCCAAAACCCCACAGCATGTTTATATGTTGATAATTATAATATTACACATCACTGAATATGAATAGTGGCAGAGCAGGTAGAAATTATATGCTAAATCAAAACTACGATGAGGATCAAAATATTCAAGGGATCCCTAGGTTGCCGCAATATCCTATACCTGATAGGATGCAAATGGAAGTAGCAAGTTATTATCCAAGTTTTCCATACTGGAGAGAGCCTCAAGAAATTTCAATAAGTCATGAAAGACCGAGCGGCCCTCCTCAAATGTATTATTATTCCCCTGCAAACACTAATTCGTACGATGAATATGAGCACTATCAGCAAGAGTGTCAAGAAGAAGCTGTGCTCTATCCTTTTTATGGCCCTATTCGTAAATATCATGGAGAAAACTACATTGGGTCAGGATCTTCTCTCTGGAAGACCATTTATAACCTCATAGCTCAAAGAGATAGAGAAAATTCACAGTTTTATAATAGTAAGGCTCTTCCTCCCAATCTTTGAGTCGGGTCTGGGAATCGTCCTGAAAACTTTGTGTTAGAGATTAATTTTGACGATGAGAGCAAAAATTAATATAACTTTACAAAGGCTTTAAAATTTAATTAACTCATAGATAATAACGAGAGAACTCTCATGGCAAGTGAAGCTTGAAATGGCAGCTTCAAACCACTAAACAAAGTGTGCGAAGACCTATGCAAGCAACAAAGTAAGCCACTGCTAACACCTTTGCTGCATTTATAATACATATTCACCTATGTTTAAACATTTTGATATAATGTCACATTAAGCTAAAAGCTTTGTACAAAGGCCAAGATAATCATTTCTTGGGTTCTAAATGGAGCTTTTGTTTCATCATAATAACGCTTAGTAAAATAGGAAGACTTGCTTAGACTCAAGAAGCTTTTAAAATCCAAATTTTAAAGTAAAAGGTCTTTATTATTAAATTGGTAACAACTATAAATAATCTTCCAGAAGAATTCTTTCATATTTCTTCATCTTCTTGCAAGGAAATATCTGAATTAGTTCAAGAGTGAAATTCTAGAGATAATAATTTTTAAATAATTTGGGCTTCTAATTCTATTTCTCACTAATATTATTTAGCCTTATAGCTCTGCCCTTATGAAAGAGCTATAGTTGCGTACCGAACTCAGGCTTCCTTAAAGCCTGTATATTTCGTTTGAAGGTGAAAACCAGTAAATTAAGGATTATTCTGTGCACTAAAATAGAATTAGATACTATATTTTTACTTTTCTTCGATTAGAAAAGTGTAAGCTAAGTTAAGTCTTCAAGATTAAGTAACAAAATCTTGGATCTTCTTTTATTATTAGTAAGATCCTCATGGAGAGAGACATGGTTGGGCTGCATCCAAATTAGCCTTAGAAGATCCCTTGATTATAATTTAGCATTTAAAATTAATTAATGCATTGTTCTTCACCAAAATATAAAATAAAACTATTCCAAATAGCTATTTATCAAGGAATATTTTGGATATCTAAATTCTTGAAACTAGTAGACGCTGCAAAAGTATGTCAGTTTGAGGCCTAAAGAGCATTTATTCTGAAAAACATGTAATAATGACTAATAAAATGAGTAGATATTGAAGTCTTATTAAGCTATTTCATGAACCTAGAGGCTGGGTTGAATAAGTTAGTACTGTCTACTGTGCTATTTATTGCTCTCTTTGATAAGATAATTTTAAGAATTTATAAAGCCTGTATAATTTTATCTCATTTACAGGTATTTAATCTTAATGGTTATTCGACTGGTTATCATAATTTGTAAGGATAATTTATTCATAATTTTTGTATTATTAAATGATGCAAATTCTTAGAAACTTATTATTTACTCAACTACCACACTCAAAATTAAACACAACAGGGATTAGAATCTCAATAAGTTCATTCTTCTCTAAATATATACATCTCTTAAGAGGATGAACCCTTCCATAGTCAAATATTTTCAAATCACAAATTTTCTGTATATTCATATCAGTTTGTCTTAAAGACCTTATCTCATGCTAAGATTTATTTCTAATAAATAAGAATTTAATCTCCTCTGAGAAGAAGACTTGTATAACTCTTTATAACTTTAAGGTTTACTTAACCTTCTAAACCCCCAAATTTACAAAATTTTCATAACTATTGAACTGACATCTCATTTTTCGAGCCGTTCATACCAAATAAGCCCTCTTTTTCCACTATTCCTTCATTCAACCCTTCACAGTGAAGCCTAAACTAATCTCCAAAACCTATCTTATACCCCTAAAAATCCCTAAACTCTCTAACCTCCTTTCCAGAATCTCCCTCACACCCAGTGACTTCCAGCAGCCATGAACTTGACACCTTCGAAAACCTAAAATCAAGACTCCCCGATCAAAAGGTCACCGAAAGACCTTTCAAAATAATCAGAAAAAGAATCCCCAAACAGGCTCCAAAACAAAAGTCAAATAGAAGATCAAGAAAGAGAAAAAGCAGACTTTCAGCCCCTAGAAAGCAAAGAGGGGCTAATAGAGCCAGAACAACTAGAAAGGTAACGTCCTAGAGGATTTAGGGTGTTTCAGGCACTTTTGAATTGGTTTTGATATGATTTTTAGAGAGAAAGAACAACCAAAGATCCCAGACCTGTGAGAAAGAACCTCAATGACCAAGAGCTGAAGGTTAAATATGGGAATTTGAGAAGAAGTCAGAGGAAGCCGAAGGTACGAATATTTGTCATTTGTTTATTCTTTGAATTTTAATATTTGCCCTAACACAAAATTTCACAAATCTAATTATTTTATGAAAAGTATGTGATATTTTAATATTTTTAATTTGAATTAAAACTTCCAAACTAATTTATCACTTCTCTCCTCATAGCTGGACAAAGAGGATGGTAATGAAGAGACTAACAATGCCAAAACTGCTTAATTGTTATAACAGAAGATAAAGTAATCTATCAGCTGGGCTAAAAAGTTATAAAAATATCTGTCTTATTTCATAACCAATCAACCTGAACTGGTTGCCTAGGCTTATAAGATTCTTTTTCATTCAAAATATTTGTCCGAATACTACCAAAGTAGCTTAAATATTTTAAAAATAGAGTTTCATGTCTGGATTGCGTCAAAATTAGAATTGTCTTGGCAAGTTTTCAACGCACAGGTTATTATGCGGGGTTTTGGGGTTTTGGGGTTTTGGGGTTTTGGGG